TCATCATCAGCATCAGCATTATCACCGTCAGCATAAGCATCATCACCATCATCATCATCAGCAGCATCAGAAGCATCATCATCACCATCATCAGCATCATCAGCATCATCGTCATCATCAGCATCATCATCACCAGCATCAGCATCAGCATCAGCGTCATCATCATCATCATCAGCAGCAGCACCACCATACTCATCATCAGCATCGCCATCATCATCGGCAGCGTCATCATCAGCCGCATCATCAGCATCATCAGCAGCACCAGCAGTATCAGCAGCAGCAGCATCACCATCATCATCAGCAACAACATCAGAATCAACATCATCATCATCAGCAGCATCATCATCATCATCATCATCATCATCATTAGCATCAGCATCAGCATAATCATCACCACCATCAGCATCGTCATCATCATCAGCATCAGCGCCAGCGTCATTATCAGCATCAGCAGCACCATCATCATCATCATCATCATCATCATCATCATCATCATCATCAGCATCATCATCACCAGCATCATCAGCAGCAGCATCATCATCCTCAGCATCAGCATCATCAGCAGCAGCATCATCATCGCCATCAGCATCATCAGCATCAACATCATCAACATCATAATCAGTACCGTCATCATGATCATCAGCATCATCATCAGCATCAGCATCAGCATCAGCATCATCATCAATATCATCATCAACACCTTTATCATCAGCAGCATCATCATCGACATCAGCATCAGCAGCATCAACATCATCAACCTCATAATCAGTACCGTCATCATGATCATCAGCATCATCATCAGCGGCAGCATCATCAGCATCAGCATCAGCATCTCAGCATAAGGGTCATCATCAGCATCAGCATCGACCTCATCACCATATGATGATTATTACTCGTAGGAATAGCCGTATTCTTCTGCCTTGTATTTATAGTATTCGTATTCCTGAAGTTCTCTGTATGACTCGTAATGGTCGGATTCATTGTACTATTATTCCTGGTAGCAGTCGTACTAGTAGTCGTATTATCCGTCGTCGTCTTGTTATTCGTCATCATAGTATTGATAGTACTACTTGAACTATTAGTAGTGTTCTTTTTCTCATTCGTACTCTCATTACTACTATTCCTGCTAGTGTTCTTATTTGTGTTCGTCTGCTTCTGCTGATCATTGTTCCTCCTCCTCCTCCTCCTCGTCCTCCTCCTCTCCTCCTCGTCCTCCTACTCGTCCTCTTCGTTCTCCTCATCCTCCTCCTCCTCCTCCTCCTCCTCCTCCTCCTCCTCCTCCTCCTCTTACGCGGACTCCTGGGCCTCCTCCGCCTCCTCCGCCTCCTCCTCCGCTTCCTCCGCCTCCTCCTCCTCCTCTCCTCCTCCTCCTCCTCCTCCTCCTCCTCCTCCCTCCTCCTCCTCCTCCTCCTCCTCCTCGGTCCTCCTCCTCCCTCGTCCTCCTCCTCCTCCTCCTCCTCCTCCTCCTCCTCCTCCTCCTCCTCCTCCTCCTCCTCCTCCTCCTCTCCTCCTCCTCCTCCTCCTCCTCCTCTCCTCCTCTTCTTCCTCGTATTATTCTTATTCGTCTTATTAGTATTGTTGTTTTCTTATTCTTTTTCCTATTGTTATTATTATTATTAGTGATGTTATTATTCGTATGTTTAGTCCTCTTCGTATGATTAGTATTATTATTCTTATTATTGTTAATATTAATATTACTATTATTAATAGTAGTATCATTAATATTATTAGTAGTATTATAATTAGTAGTACCATTATTAGTATGTTCATTCGTATTATTAATGTGATTATCATTACTATTATGCTTATTAATATTACTATTATTAATATATAGTTCTTCGTATGCTTCTTCTCATTAGTAAGATGAATATTATGATTATCAGTATTAGCACTGGTCTTCGTATTATTCTTAGTAGTGTTATCCTTCTTATTCTTCTGCTTATTATTATTATTATATTATTCATATTATTACTCTTCTACTTCTGCTGATTCGAGTTCTTATTATTATGAGTATTAGTACTAATATTCTTCTTCTTAGTATCAGTATTATTCTTCTTCGTCTTATTATTAGTGATATTATTAATAGTATTCGTCTTGCTAGTTTTCTTAATACTCATATTCTCCTTCGTAATCGTATTATTATTATTCTTGCTTACTAGTACTATGATTATTCTTATTAATAGTATCATTCAGACCATTATTCATTTTTTTCATATTCTTAGTATTATCCGTATCATTGTGATTAGTCTTCTTTTTATCCTGATTATTTCTTAAAATATTATTATTATGCTCAGTATGATCATTATTATTCAGATTATTCGACTTACTCGTATGATCAATATGTTCTTAATCTATATATTAATATTAGTATTATTCGTACTATTCTTATTATTAGTATTATTCGTCTTGCTTTTCGTATGATTATTAAGTATGTTTAATATTCCTAGTATTATATTTATTGCTCGTATTATCATTATTATTAGTCTTATTTCTACTATTATTCGTATTCGTCTTCGTCTTCGTGTGCGTCTTCGTATTCGTATTCGCCTTCCTCCTCCTCCTCCTCCTCCTCCTCCTCCTGTTCCTGTTCTTGTTCCTGCTCCTGCTCCTGTTCCTGCTTTTCCTCCTCCTCCTCCTCCTCCTCCTCCTCCTCCTCCTCCTCCTCCTCCTCCTCCTCCTTCTCTTCACCCTCACCCTCACTTTCACCCTCACCCTCATCCCTACTTCTGATGATTAAACACCCCCACATCCCCACCTAGTCGGCCGATAGCAACCCCGCCGTCCGAACTGTCAAAAAACAACACCAACTCCATTTCTGTTCGCCAAAACGCCGTCGAGTTGCAAAAAGTGCAGCAGGAAAAGGACGGAATGAACATCGCTCGGGTGACCCTAAGCGGGTGGTCGCGTCCTACCCATACAGAACAATACAAAGTCAACGTTTTCCTCGTCAACATGGACTTGATCGTCGCCGGCGCTGCGAAAAGTGTAGCAGGAATGGGACGCGGCGCACATCGCGCGCGAAGGCCTGGCCAACCCTGCGCGGGACCCCCCGTCCGACCTGTCAACAAACAATGCAACGTCGACGTTTTTCTTGCCAACATGTACTTTCTCGTCGGCGATGCGAACCGCGTAGCGGGAATGGGACGCGGCGCACATCGCGCGGGGACGCCTGCTCGTCAACATGGACTTTTTTGTCGTCGACGCTGCGGCCCGTCGGGTTGAGGAGCTGGGCGCGGCGTGCATCGCGCACGGTCTTGTTTCTCGTCGACGTTGCTCAACACGCGGAAGGAATAGGACGCAGCTCATGTCGCGCGCTGAACGTCAAGCCGCCCGCGATATATAAGATGAGCGACAGGCGTCGGACGCGACGCAGTTGCTTCTTATGTTGTGGGAGGGCGGGTGGGAGTGGACAGAGCCCTCTGGCTCGTTCGAGCTGGCTAACTTTACCCCCGCCCTCACCCTCACCCATCCTCCTCATTTTCCTCCTCTTCCTCCTGCGTTCCCTCACCCCACACCCCGGGGGCAAGGGCGCGCGGGAAAGTGGGAAGAAGTACCAGCGACGCGCGCGGGAAGCCGGCTCCCGCCCTCAACCAGGCGGCGCTCAGTAAACTGCCACGGGTGGTCTCAGGAGCGCCTCGGGGGGCCCCGACAGAGGCAGGCGCTGACTGGGAGGGGCAGAGCATGAAGAGCGAGAGGGACAACCCTGTCCCCTCTCCTCCTCCACCACCACTTCTACCCTCCTTGCCATGCCAATTTCGTCTGCTCCTCCTCCTCCTCCTCCTCCTCCTCCTCCTCCTCCTCCTCCTCCTCCTCCTCCCATCCTCCTTCTCCTCAATCGCCTCCTCCTAAAACCCCTCATCCTTCTTTTTCCTTCCATGAACCGCGCTCTCCTCCTCACACGAAAGATATGATGGACGAACTCTGCGAAGCTGAAGCCATTGCAGACAAGCTCACCCTGACACGAAACCACGTCACAAGCAAGATCCCCGGACCAAATGCCTTTCATAGGCCTCGGAACGCATCTTCTCATACTTGGTTCGGAACGACGTTGCATCTCGGATGGCTTTCCAGCACGCTGGAAAAGACGCGCCAAGCAGCACAAATGTTTCGGATGGCTAGCACGCGAGAAGAGCCACACACGGCAACACACAGGCTTCAAGTCCCCCCAAAAAACTCACCACGTAAAAGTACGATCCTGGGCCCCCGAATCCGTTTTGTGTTCACGGCGTGGACCCACTGCGATCGCGAGTCTTTTCGTCCTGAGCCGTCTGCTACACGGCCTTGGGGACCAGCAGCGGCCCCAGGTGCCCGAGAAGACTACTAAGACGACGTCCGCGGGCTGAGCGGGGCGCGGCCAGAGCCAGCCGTGGGGAGGGGCAACGAGATAATGGGGGACCAGCTCTGGGGGGGGAAGAGGGGGGGGGGGGGGAACAGCGAGCTGGAATCGGCGATGCACCGCCGACCGACCGGCGACAGACCCCCCGATGGCGAATCCGCGCGCTAGTGGGCAGGGTGGGGCCATCGGACTCCCATCGGCGATGCATCCCCTCCCGAGCCCATGCCCGCCTGAGCATCCTCCCCCCCTGAGCTGGATGCATCCCCCGAGGAGGAGGAGGAGGAGGAGGAGGAGGAGGAGAGGAGGAGGAGGAGGAGGAGGAGGAGGAGGGGGAGGAGCAGGAGGAGGAGGAGAAGGATGAGGAGAACGAAGAGGACGAGTAGGAGGACGAGGAGGGGAGGAGAAGGAGGAGGAGGAGGAGGAGGAGGAGGAGGAGGAGGAAGAGGAGGAGGAGGAGGAGGAGGAGGGGAAGAGGAGGAGGAGGAGGAGGAGGAGGAGGAGGAGGAGGCATCCCCTCCTGAGCCCGTCCGCCCATCGCTGCCCCTGACGCGGCAGCTCGGAGGCGGCGGCGGCGGCGGGGCACGGGGAGGTGCCCCGGAGAGTGCCGGCACCCCGCGCCTGCGTCTCCCCGCGGCCGTCGACGCTGGGCGCGTGCGAGCCCCCCCTCGCGGTTCGGGGGGAGGTGGGCGAGGAGGCTTCGGGAGCGCGCGGGAAGGGGGGGAGGGGCGAGGGGAGGGGCGAGGGGAGGGGACGGGACGGAAGAGGAGGGCCAGGGGAGGGGCGACGGGAGGGAAGGGCGAGGGAACGGAAGAGGAGGCTGAGGAGAGAGCGAGGGGAAGTGGGCGAGGAGGCCTCGGGGACGCGGAGGGGGAGGGGATTGCGCTCTGCTTCCGAAGAGACGGTCAGCTTAGTGCGGCACTCACTAGCTGCTGGCAGAAACACGCGGTATCTAGCAGCACGGGCGCCAAAGTGTAAATGCTCCGCCTGACGATACTCATACCACCCCCCACCCATCACGTCACACAGCGCGCGCGACTCAATGCAACGCTGCAGGAGAAGGGAAGAAGCAAGAGGAAGCATATCAAGTAGGGGAGCAAGTGAGATGGCCTGCGAGGGGCCTGAAACCAGTAGCGTGGGCTGGTACAAGTGATGGGCCCTCGGGAATGCACGATATTCGCACGCTCGACCCATGCCACCGCCCGCCCTAAGCACCAATAACTCAGTCACGGCCAGCGCGCACTGAACACACGGAAGAGCGGCGTGGCCAAAAGGAATGTCTGGCGTATCTCAACCAAGGAGAGCGTCACCAACATAGAAAGAACAATGGCATCGGTCCTACATCACCATGCCGTCGACGTGGAAAGAAGGACATCGACACCACATGGCAGGGGAGATACGGGGGAAAAGCACAGAGAAAGCAGCTGCGAGCGGCTGGATGGCAAGAGCCAACATTTGACTGTTCTCAGCCTCCACCCCACCACTCCCCGCAATAACTGAATAATTGACAGGCAGCAACTTATCCGAGCAAGCCTCTGCCAAAATTAGGATCATGGGTCCATGGGGCTACCTCGCGCAATTGAGCCCGTCTCGCTTCCTGGAGTTCAGCAGCTCTTCTGACACGTGCCCGCGCGCGGTTTCGCGCGATGCGCTCCAAGACGTCGGGCGCTAGCGGTACAGGGACAGGCGGGACGGGGGGGTCTGGTGCCCCCTGCGAGTCACCAAGGAAAGCACGTGCATCTACACTCCTGCCCCTCATCAGCCCCCGGTGGGCCCGTAGGTCTAGCCTCCGCCATATCGTCGTGAACCTGCGAAGTGGAAGAGGTAACCTGCTCCGATGTCGGGGGGGCGCGCAGGTCGAAAGCGACCCAACTCGGGGCCGTGTCGGACACGACGCGCGCGCCGATTGACAAAGTCGGGAGCCCGCCCCTCGTCTGTGCCAGAATAGGGATCCCATGAAACATGGAAGCGCAACAGTCCATCACGTACTCTACCATCCTCCCCCATGTCACCCGGAACAACGGGCCGAACACGATCAACTTCCTCCCCCGACATTGCACGGACTGCATCAGCGGCGGCAGCAGCGATGCACTTGCACAGGCCAGCGGGATACGTCTTCTTTTTGGCTGTGCGCCACTCCCTCCTATCCCAACCATACCCAAGAAGCGTTTCGTGTCCGCCCCTACCGCGCGAACACCTGCCGCTTCCAGGGGTCGCAAGCAGGGCGGCGCGCAACCCTGGCAGTCTAAGTGCCACGATCCGAGTGGGGGCCCTTGACGTCTGACCACGTTCACACTGATCAAAGTCGGACGTCGAAACTGCTGGGGGCGACTGGAGAGCACGCACCGGGTGGCAGGTAAACGAGCTGACGGCTTGGAGCCTCCATCCACACGGCTGGGGGTGCTCAAGCCAACATGACGTCCCAGCCTGCATATGCACCACGAAAAGCTCCAGCATAGCATGGTATAGCGCAGCGCCACCCCCCACAGCTGTTCCATCTGACGCTCAGTGACTGCCGTCTTACCCCAAAAATGATCATGCGTCCGCAGTGGCGGGGGGCCTTGGCCTTCTGCCCATCGGGAAGCAGACCAGGTCTCACACGGCGGCCCGCCACCCGACACCACCACCACCCGTCGCGCAAGGATGTGAGACCCCCATTCTGCGAGCGCGTCCCGATTCATGAGATCCCCGTCCACTGCATATATGGCTATATCCACAGACAGGACACATATATATATATATATAGCATAGTCGGTGCGGCAATGCGTCCATTCAACCTATGCCTGCACATCTCCCGCCCTCCTCCGTCCACAAAAAATTCAGGACAAAGTACTCACTTCGTCTGACGGCTCTCGGCATGGGCTCGGCTGCGATGCCAGTGCACCGTTCTGTCAGGACTAATCGACTGACATATCTCACAGTGGTGCACTGAACAGGGTTGGCCGGCGGCGGCGGCACAACAGCGGCATCCACAGGTGTAGGAGCTTGTAGGCAAGCAGCAAGCCCAGCTGGGAGAGCGGGGTCAGCGGCCGAATTCTCCACGCGTGCAGTGCCATGGTCCATCGTAGCAACAACCAAATACGCATGCTCTGTGCTGGGGCCAGCTGCACGAACTGTCGGCACAACAACATGACGGCGAGACAACGGCACATCTGGGACCCCGCCTGTCATGGGGGCTAAGAAATCGGGATATGTGCGCAGCGCCTGAAATAGTAACACCTGGTAGCAGCTGCCGTGGTAGGATCACTCACCAGTATAAGTAAACACCGTGGGGAATCATGTGCTAGGTGGTCTACTAAGCGAACCCGAGCATGAAATACAGATAGACACGCGTGACACTGTCCGTCTGGCGGCGCAAATGCACTGGCCAAAGCTGCGTTCTGTCGGCGGGCACGCGCCACATGCACACGTACCGCTCCATGATTTCGGAAGGCGCGCACACCATGGACATGTGGCAATGGCATCCTCTGTGTCGCCTGCAGCACGTGTAGGTGGGTCTACAAGGTAAAAAAAAAAAAAAAAAAAAAAAAAAAAAAAAAAAAAAAAAAAAAAAAAAAAAAAAAAAAAAAAAAAAAAAAAAAAAAAAAAAAAAAAAAACGAGCATGAGATTGGGCCGTAGCGTGTAACGCCATCTTGCTGATGCGTTTCCAAGCTGTTTGATTTCGCAGGGTGAGGGACCCCAATTCACTGGAGTCCCCAAGCGGTGGCGGGAGAGAAGCACAAACTACAGCAGCAGCACGTAGCCACGAGCAACCATCTATGACCATTCCCAGCCATGACCTGGCGCGGCACCCGTGCTGAGTAGTCTCGCGCCACTCGGCCCGTAGTAAGGCAAATGCAAGTTTGGGCCCGGTGCGCAATAGTGAACCCAACAGTCGCAAACGTGCAGCTCTTCTTAGAAAGTCGGGCGGGGGTCTTCTGAGTCTGGCCCGCACTTGGCCATCACTTATGCACGATTCGGCTTCCACCATGCGAACCTTCGCCGCAGCTCGGTAAACGTTGATGACTTCGGCGTCGCCCATGCTGGCCCCCGCCGTTGTTAGCATAGCCCAGGCGCCAGAAATGTAGAGACGCCCCGATAACACCAGACTGTCGGCAAACCTCATGTCGGATCGGCAAGAGCCTTCGAGAAAAATCTAGTGCGCAGCACCCGTAACGTAGCTGTGGCACTGCTGGCTCGATATCGCACCTCGGGCCCCATGTTACCTTGGGAGTCAATAGCTGAGCCAATATGTACATAGTGCTGGACAATCGGTGTCCGCATAGTCCTAAGTCGTTGCGTCTGCGCAACCACATGCCCACCACACTCGTGCCACGCGTGCTGCTTCGCCTTCTTCGCCGCTTTCCCTCGGTAAGACAACAGGGCGGCCGTTTTTGCAACGCCGAGGTTGAGTAGGTGGCCTCTGCTACCAATCACTTCGGCAACCACGGTAAGCGCACGGCACATGGCAGGACACAGGTCGGAGACAGGGACAATCACAATGATGGCGCCGCCATCAGCAAAGGTAACATCCAACAGCGGCACGGTGGTAGCAGCGTCGGCATCCGTCACTATACTCTGCACGCCATTGCGTTCATAAGTAGGCAAATGCAGGGCTAGTCCTTCAGCGTCCAATTGAGCTCGCACAGCGCGCATGTATTCACCCATAAGCATCTCGTACAATATATCCGCGAGAGGTTGCCCAAGGAAAACCGAACGCTGCGGCATGGAAATCTGGTCAGAACCCTCGCACAGGAACCAGGGGGCATGGCAGCATTGTGAAATCTGAGCTGCCGCGTGCGCGTGCAACGTGCCGTTCACCACTTGCCGCTCCACAATAGGTGTCTGCTCTCGTATACGCCGCGCGAGCTCACGCATGGCACTCGACGGTAGTCCCACTTCCCTGACAATACAAGCAACGGCATCATCGTCGAGCGGCGAGCGAAGGAGCAGCTCCCGCAAGGTGCGAAAAAATGCCTGCACCACTTCCAGGAATAGCGCGCCGAAAGACAGAGCACGCGCAGCCGCAACAACTTGCGCAAGACGAATAATGACTGACGGAGAGCCAGCTGCCCGACCTGGTATTCCCCCGAACTGCGCATCCCCTGCCGTGGCAAGTAGTGCCGGCATCAGCCCAGTCCGCAAGCAACTTCGCGATGCCTCACCAAGCAGCGAGGACACCAGAATACCGCGGGAGCTGACACAGGCACTGGGGTCGGCCGTGATGGACTCCAGCAAATCGCGATAGAACCCCCCCTTCCATTGAGTAGGCTCAAATAGGGCAACGGCGGTCTTGAGTTGTAGCGGGCAGTACAGGGCAGCGAGCTCGGTGGCACAAGCATGCACCAGAGCTTCCGTGAAACTGTCACAGCCAGGGGCGGCGCGCTTGGTCTGGCGGCAGGCATGCTGAAACTCAGACAGGGTCGGCAGGGTATCACTAGGCACAGGATCGGAGGACATCCGATCGCATGGCACCCGTGCGAAGTGACCCGCAAGCCTGGTCACATCTGCAAGCTCGAAGGTAGCTGCCAACTTTAGCGTGCCAAAGTGCGGCTGCCAGCGACGGGCTGCCTGAACCTGCAAAGTTACCGGCTGAGCATGAATGTCCTTGGGGATGGGCAGCCCTTTAAGCATGCGCTTGCGGCGGGACCCTGCACCGACACGGCACAGGGCCGCAAAAGCCTCCG